GAACAAAACAAACAATAATAAAAACGACACAGAATTTCATAAACATTTTTCATTATTAAAAAACGACACATCCACACAGGCAAAATTCCATAAACATTTTTCATTATGTTATTGATTATATTTTTTTTCATTAATACGAGACCTCCCCCCCCCCCTTATCCGATAGAATGTTAATTGATTCGGCTGAAGAAGATCAATATGGCTGTATATTCTGACTGATTTTTTTGTTTTTGTTTTATATGCAAAGTTTTTTATGTATATTCTGACTTTGCTTTTTTTGTTTTTGTTTTTTATGCAAAGTTTTTATGTATATTCTGACTTTGCTTTTTTTGTTTTTGTTTTTTTATGCAAAGTTTTTTATATATATTCTGACTTTGCTTTTTTGTTTTTGTTTTTTTATGCAAAGTATTTTATGTATATTCTGACTTTGTTTTGTTTTGTTTATTACGCAAAGTTTTTAATGTATATTCTGACTTTGCTTTTTTATGCAAACTTTTTATGTATTTTCTGACTTTGCTTTTTTGTGTGTTTTTATGCACTTCTTTTGTTGTTGTTTTTTATGCAAAACAAGTTTCAATTCTTATTAATTATCTTTTAATTAATTTATGTTAATGAGAAAAGTGGTATCTATTTTACCGAATAGGGATAGTGATGATGATGCGAATAATAGTAATGATGATAATAGGAGTAATAACTGTAATCATAATAACCTAATATGTGTGTAAAAACAATAATAAGAATAAGAATAATGATAAGAATAATAGAAATGATAATGATAACAATATTGATAATAATCAACATGTTAATAGTGATAAAACTGATAAGAATATTAATAATGATGATAATGATAATGATGATAATATTGATAACAATAACAATAATAGTAGCAATGATAATATTACCATTAATAGTAATGATAACAGATCGGGATGAAAATGGCAATGATGATGATGATAATGAAGATAAAGATGATATTAATGATAATATAATAAAAATTGGGATGATAGGAATAACAACAATAACAATAATAATTAAAGTAATGATAATGGCAATAATAATAACATTAATAATAATTATAATGATGATTATTATGATTATACAGTAATACAAAAAATGATAATACTATCATTATTATTATAATGATAATAATCATTATAATTTTCATTATTATCATTATCATTACTATCGTTGCTATCATTACTAATTTTCATTTTCACCGTTACTATCAATACTTCTATTATTATCATTATCATTATCGTAATCTTTATCTATATTATGTTTTTTTTATTATTTTTGTTAATGTTATCATTGCTGTTGTTGTTATTACTACCATTATCGTTATCATCATTAGCACTACCGTTAATATTACCGTTATGATCATTATAATCGTCATTATCATTATCATTACTATTATTATCATTACTGTTATTATATCATTATTATGATTATTATCATTATCATCATTATATTATTATTATTATTATTATTATTATTATTATTATTATTATTATTATTTTATTATTATTATTATTATTATTATTATATTATTATTATTATTATTATATTATTATTATTATTATTTTATCATTATATTGTTATTATTATTATTATTATTATTATTATCATTATTATCATTATTAATATTATCATTATTATTATTATTATTATTATTGTTATTATTATTATTATTATTATCATTACTATTATTATCATTACTATTATCATCATCATCATCATCATTAATGTTATCATCATTATCAATATTATTGTAACCATCATCATTGTCATTATTATTGTCATTATTATTATTATTATGTTATCATATTATCATATTAATATTATCATTATTGTCATTATTATTATTATTATTATTTAATTATTATTATTTATTATTATTATTATTATTATTATTATTATATATTATTATTATTATATTATTACTATTATTATCATTACTATTATTATCATCATCATCATTAATGTCATCATCATTATCAATATTATTGTAACCATTACCATCATTGTCATTATTATTGTCATTCCTCTTATTAGCATAATTATAATCTCTAGTGCTATTTCGATTATTATTATCATTATTATTATGATTGTTACTTTCAATATTAATAATTACAATAGTGACATTATCATTACCATTATTATTATCATTATCATCATTGTTATTATTTTCACGATTATAATATCTATCACTATTACAACCACAACTACTAATACATTTGTTATCATCATTATCATCACTATTGTCATCACTATTATCCTCATCATCATTTTATTGTTGTTGTTGTTGTTGCATGATTATCACCGATATCGTTATTATCATTATCATCGCTATTTTAAGTATCATTACCATTAGTTTTATTATTACTATTATTATTACTAATTATTATATTATTATTAATCTTATCAGTATCATCATTATCTTCATCATTATTTTTATTATTTTGATTATCATTATTGTCATTATTATATTATTATTATTATATCATTACCATTGTTATTATTGATATTATATCATTAGTCATTATTAATATCATTATCATTACTATTATCATTATCATAATCGTTATTAGTAGCAGTTATTCTTATTTATATCATTATTATCATAATTATTACTATCATTGTTATTATATCCCCAGCACTATAATCATTATCATCATTGTTATCATTATTATCAGCATAAATAGCATTGTTATCATTACTATCATTATTATTGTTATAATTATGTCCATTATTATCATATCATTATTGTCATTATTATTATTCAATATCATCATAATTATTATTATGATGATTATTATTTTATCATTATTAGTGTTATCATTATTATGAGTAATATCATTATTATCATTATTTTCATTATTTTCATTATCATTATCTTCACTATTATCATTGTTGTTATCATCAAAACTATTAATATTATTGTTATTATCATTATTATTACTGTTACTCTTATTGTAATAATCACTAACATTACTAACAGTATTGTTATTATTATTATTATTTATTATCATAATTATTATTATTATTATCATATTATCATTATCATTATTATTGTTATTATCATTTTCATTAATATCATTTTTATTATTTTCATCAGTATTATCCTTACTGTTATCATTAATACTATTCATTATTTCTTATTATCATAATCATTATCATCATTATTATCATTATCATTATTATATATATTATAATCATTATTATTATTGTTGTTGTGTTGCTCTTGATATTATCATTATTATTATCATTATCATTATCATCAATATTTTTTATTATCATCATTATTTTCATTATTGCCACTATCGTCATTATTATTGTTATTATTATATTATTATTTCTATTATCATTTTGTTACCAACATTGTGGCTTTTTTTCACAGTCTTTATTATTAGCGTTATGGTTAATCCCAGTGTCGTAAGTGAATTTAATCATTACTTAATGATTAGTAGTAGTAGTATCATTATCACAATCATTACCATTGTCGTTGTTACTTTTGCCTTTGTTAAAATCACAAACGTCTGTAGTATCATTTACGTTACGTAACCATTTTGTTATTGTCATTAGCATACCACTTCTACACAATTAAAGCAGCTGATTTTGGTTCATGTTAAATATTTTTCATCATTTTCATTTTGTTGCTGTTGTTGTGATTGTCCACAAGAACGATTTTCCAATAAACAAAAAATACGCAATACCATATGTTATCTAATTATTCCAAATTAGAAACAAATATGAAACTAGTGTCTTATGCATGCAGCCCCGTATAATAAGGTGTCTTCTCCTAGCATAGCAACCTGAAACATAATCAATTAAGTACTCTAAATAAATAATTACAAAAAATAAAAGCCTTTAGGCACGTGAAAGAAAAAAAACGTTCGGGCGTTCGTATCCCCTGAGTTCGCGCATGCGCATTGAACCTCCAATGTTTATTTTGATTTTTGTTTTGCCGCGAAAATGATCTTGGTTGGTGGAAATGACACTTCGTTTCAACGTCCTGCGCCAGTATTTGTTCCAGAACACAGAACTCTATCCACTAAGAAGGTAAGGAAGTGCGAGAAAGAGAGAATGGCGAAATTAGATGAGAAATAAGAGAGAAAATAAAGATCTGATTTCGGCGCCCGGTATTCTCCCGTTGCGGAGCTGACCTTGAAATTCTGTTTTTGTTTTCGGGTTTTTCATTTCGTGGCCGTGAATTGTGTTTATTTTCCCATGCGTTCAGAATTTGATTTTGTATTTTCTTTTAGTTGAGTTGTGGAGATCGAATGCAAGATGTTTAATTATGAGGTTTTTAGATTTACCTGAAAAGGTAGATGAAGGCGCAAATGGTGTCCGATTTGAAAATGTTTAACAGATGATCATTTTAACCAAGAATGTTTATGGTTCTAGGTGTTTTCCCTCATTATTTTACAGTTACATATCAAGACAGTGTTGTTACTCTAAGAGTTAATATTAATCTGATTATTATTGGACATGTTACTATATGAAATTATAAATGTTAAGAAGTCAGTGGCATTACCTTTCAGAACTATATTTTTTCTTATTTGTTATGACTGTGTTCTCTCTAGATTCACTATATGTGATGCTTTACAATCTTAGCCATTTCTAATAGACTTACTAGTATTATCTTGCCAGATCATACATGGTTTGTTGGCATGCTTTAGAAAATTGGAGCGTTAATTTTTATTGTATGGATGCACAAAGTTAGGGCTAATTTTATATGATATTCTTGTAGATAAGAAGTTGCAGTCATGAAATAATCTGTAGACACAAACAATTGTACCACAAATAAAGGAAAAAAAATCTTGCGGCAAGCGTCATTCTCAGCCTAAGTCCAGTTGGTACTCCCGAGTTTCAGCTCTATTAATGCTGTGCATACCGAGGTGAAGACTATATTTCCCAAGGTGTGTTGGGAGGCAGAGCCCCCTATCAACCCTCCCCTCAGGCACACCCAGTGATGTGGAGTTGGGGACTTCGTCTCATACTGTAGAGAATCACTTATTAAAGAGTGCAATATCATGGGCAGAGTTGTGTGGTAGTTCATAAAAGATTACCAATACAATTTAGTATTTTTTTCCTAATAGTTCCACTATACACAGTGATGATTTTGGTATTGTTCAATTCCTCTCACTTAAAAGTTTCCAAATATATGGAAATGATAGCACAGAAATACCCCCAAACCCCCACATTCTTCGTCCGATAATAGGGTAGGGCATGTACCAGGGAAATTGCAGGGTAAAATATGAATAGTGTAAACAGAATTAGTCATTGCATTGTCTGCTGCCCCCCAACCACCACTCAGGAAAACAAAGAATCCTCCATGTATTCATGGCAGGAGAGAGTTTACAACCACCATGCAGGAGCAACATTGCCAAGTCTGGAAAGGTATGAATGAGAACGAATATCTTCACAATACAAGAGATGTATTTAACCGGTTTCATGTATTTCTGACGAAGATATAATTGAAACCGGTTAGTGAAGATCTCCTGTATTGTGAAGATATTTGTTCTCATTCATACCTTTCCACATTTGTCAACATGATTACAGTTCATTGCCAAGTCTGTCGAAAGCTCTCTCCTACCGTGAGTACGTGCATTAGACAATATAGTGACTGACTGTGTAGGTTATTTATCTATTACCTTTCAATTTCCCTGGTACCTTTCATACCCTCCCCTGCTATTGGGGCCATGTTTGTCACTCATTGGGGATTAGGGGGCTTTTCACACAATAAATTCTACTTATATGCATTGTAGACAGTGAGAGGAATCCAATACTACCAATGTTGTTGCAATCCATTAGTCATAACTTTTAGAAAAATTACCCAAACTTATTATGAATTATGATTTATGAATGACTTTACATTGGTGCATTTACATTCCAGTCTAGAGGTACACCAAAATTTGCCCCACCCCCAAAAGCTCCAGTGAAGAGTTGTCCAGTCACAAGAATATTTCCGCGCATCAGCGACTACGACCGACCCCAGCCAGTGTCTTTCAGGGATGATTCCGACACATGTGAGTATCTTTAACTGTGAAGCAGAAAAAAAACAGGATTTATGTTGTGAATAAGAAAAGTTGAGGAGGTTGGAATTTTGAAGGAATGATTGTTATAGTGCTAACAATTTATCTTTATCAGACTGAAAGCCATTAACAATTGGTAATGTATTCTCTGTTTCTCCTGACAGCTTTTATCGTACAGAGTCCACTGTATAGTGCAGAAAAAACAGCACTTTACTTTGAACAGTGTTATGCCATTGAAGAGAAACTTGGCGTAGGTTCCTTTGGTGAAGTATACCGAGTCCGAAGTAAAGAGGATGGGAGACAGTATGCATGCAAACGAACCCTGTTAAGATTTCGAGGGGAAGGTGACAGGTAAATATATATGTCAGACTGATGCTTGCGAAAGCATATTTTAGTCGTGTGCATAATTTGTTTACTTTTTTATGCATGAGGTATCTGCTACCTGATTTTTCAGTGGCAGTCATCATTAACCCTAAAAGGATAAGGAATTGTATAGCTGTGTGTATATGTGCACGCACATGCCTGACAGGTGAAAATGCAAGACTCAAAATTCTGTAATAAACAAGTGATAAAATGAGCAGATAAAATGCTTTAGGTCACTTTTGTTATATGAATCATGTGCATCTCAGTACATCAGTCTTAATTCACTTGCATCCACAGAATGGAAAGAAAGTCAGTATTTCATAATCTGGAAGCAAAAGGATTTACTGTCTTTTATGATGTGTAGCAGACATACCAAAGTATGACAGCTGCTGTACATCATTTCAAAGGGGTTTAATAGTTCATTTGTATATTTCACTTGATGCTCTTTTCAGAGTAAAGTCATCATCTAATCATGCCTTTCTCTGTCTACAGGCGGAGGAGAATGGAGGAAGTCCAGAAACACGAGAAACTCCCAAAGCACAAAAACTGTGTCGAGTTCTATCGGGCTTGGGAAGAAAGGCAACACCTGTATCTTTTGACAGAAGTGTGCCGCACATCACTAGCAGACATGGCTGAAGACAGACATGATCTTCCAGAGAGTGTTGTTTGGGATTATCTAGTCGATTTGTTACAGGTATGAGAGAAACATACAGACAGACCTTCTGAAGCAGTAGTAGAAAAAGGAACTCATTATAGTTAACCTCTGGAGTATATATTTAACTTTTTTGGATCATTATATGTTTTCTCTTCTCTGTAATTTGTAGAGAAACTTTCTAAATTATGCCTTACGCTTCACTGGTTAGCAAAGTCTAATCCCAGTGATCACATTAGTATTACTCTTCACATCATTGATCAATTGGTTTCAGGGTTAATTGCATCCATATTTATCCATACTCTGAAAGTATTCATGCCAGATGTGTAACTGATTTTATATATATATTCTTATTTTCTAGGGTGTAAGCCACTTACACAAACATCATTTGGTGCACATGGACATCAAACCAGAAAACATATTTATTGGCTACGATGGGCTATGCAAGCTTGGCGACTTTGGTCTAGTCATTGAAACGTCTCAGGTAATATATTAACTATTTTTAATAATTTTAATGTCTTTAAGATTGTGTGAGATTTCTTATATGATCTGATTATTGTTTGTTTATTGTTATTGTGTGGTTTTCTTTTTATTGAAATTGTTTGCTACTTTTTATATTTTTCATTGATATAAACACATGCCACACAGTTTGAATTATGTTTGGAAAAAATGAAGAATTGGAATATTCCTTATTCAGCAGAATTTGTCATTTCACACATTTATTTATAAGTTCACTTTTATCTTTGCCATCATACCTTCAGGAATATTTTGGTGAGTCAGTCAGATACCATATTGTTTTGTAAGAAACTATATGTTTAGCTACAGATAAATATGTTTTTCTTTCCTCATTTCTCCATGAACAAGACTTAAATTTAATATAGATATGGCTTTCTGCTGCATTGCACTTTTTTACTACTCTTTTTCAAAATAAACATCAAAAGAAGCTCTCACAAAGAATCACAATTATTAACCAAAAAATAATGATAATAATAAATACCTCTCTTACCAAGAATCACACTTCATAACCCTTTGTGCTGGGATGGCAAGATATTCACACCATGTCCACTAATTTTAGTTTACTGTGTTAATACTTTGATGGCTCCACAAGAACTTAGTCACCAAAGTATTTTATATATATTGAGTTTTTTTAATTTTATTATGAATATCATGAATTTTGTTTTTATGATTAATGAATTGTGAAATTTAGTTGAGTCATGTGAGAGCATTCGTCATTGACTCCTTAATGACTGATCACACCTCTGGTAATTTCTTTGTAACACAATTCACAAAAAACAAAAACAAAAAAAATACAAAGGGTTAACAGAAACACCAAGAATGACACTTATTAACAAACCCACAAATGTCCTCCCTAACAGGTCCTGTGAAGGAAGCTATGGACCCAAATTACCTGCCCCAGAGGTTATGAATCTCCAGTTCGGTGCGTCGGCTGATATTTTCAGCCTGGGGATGACCGTGCTTGAATTGGCCACTGACCTGGACCTTCCCAAGCAGGGAGATATGTGGCAGTCGCTCAGGGCAGGGCAAGTTGCCTCCTGTGCGTATTGTAAGTGGATTTTTATGATAATAACTTTGTTCTCTATCTCTCTCTGTATCTCTCTTTTTTTCTTTCTCTCTCTCTCTTTTCTTTCTATCTCCTCTCTCTCTCTTCTTCTCTCTCTCTCTCTCTCTTTTCCCCTCTCTCTCTTCTCGTCTCTCTTCTCTCTCTCTCTCTCTCTCTCTCTCTCTCTCTCTCTCTCTCTTCTCTCATCTCTCTCTCTTCTCTCTCTTCTCTCGTCTTCTCCTCTCACTCTCTCTCTCTCTCTCTCTGCTGCTCTCTCTCTTTCTCCCTCTCTCTTCTCTTCTCTCTTCTCTCTCTTCTCTCTCTCTCTCTCTCTCTCTCTCTGTCTCTCTCTCTCTCTCTCTCTCTCTTTTCTCTCTCTCTCTCTCTCTCTCTCCTCTCTCTCGTGTCTCTCTCTCTCTCTCTCTTCTCTCTCTCTCTCTCTCTCTCTCTCTCTCTCTCTCTCTCTCTCTCTCTCTCTCTCTCTCTCTCTCTCTCTCTCTCTCTCTCTCTCTCTCTCTCTCTCTCTCTCTCTCTCTCTCTCTCTCTCTCTCTCTCTCTCTCTCTCTCTCTCTCTCTCTCTCTCTCTCTCTCTCTCTCTCTCTCTCTCTCTCTCTCTCTCTCTCTCTCTCTCTCTCTCTCTCTCTCTCTCTCTCTCTCTCTCTGCTCTCTCTCTCTCTCTCTCTCTCTCTCTCTCTCTCTCTCTCTCTCTCTCTCTCTCTCTCTCTCTCTCTCTCTCTCTCTCTCTCTCTCTCTCTCTCTCTCTCTCTCTCTCTCTCTCTCTCTTCTCTCTCTCTCTCTCTCTCTCTCTCTCTCTCTCTCTTCTCTCTCTTCTCTCTCTCTCTCTCTCTCTCTCTCTCTCTCTCTCTCTCTCTCTCTCTCTTCTCTCTCTCTCTCTTCTCTCTCTCTCTCTCTCTCTCTCTCTCTCTCTCTCTCTCTCTCTCTCTCTCTCTCTCTCTCTCTCTCTCTCTCTCTCTCTCTCTCTCTCTCTCTCTCTCTCTCTCTATCTCTTTCTCTCTCTCCTGTTATACCTATGCACTTTTTAATATTTTATCATTTTCATTTTGTTGTATTCTTTCCTGCGAATTTAATTGTATCCTTGTTTGCATGTGTGTTCTGTTCTCACCACTGAAGTAATATTTCTTTTTCCCAACAGCTCTTTCCAGTGATTTGCAGGCAGTGTTAACAGGGCTTCTGCGACCAGATCCATCAGAGAGACTCACAGCTGATCAAGCCCTCAGTCTTCCCGTCATAAGACGCATTTTACTTCGCAAGAGAGTGAAAGACATCTTCAGGATATCTGTGAGTATTGCTGTTTATTTCTTCTTTATCATCTTTTTCCTTTTCTTCTTCTTTCTTCTTCCTCTTCTTGTCTTTGTTTTTGTCTTTCTTTTTCTTGCTTTCTTTGTCTTTTCCTTTCCTTTCCCTTCTCTTTATTTATTCATTTTTAATTTTTCTCTCTTTCTTACTTGTCTTTCCTTCTTTTTCTTAGATGGGGTTCATGTGGCACAGCATTTGGTCTGAGATTAGACAAGTGAAGTGATTATTTGCATCATAGTTTGATTTAACAGTTAATTAAGAAAAGAAATGCATTTAGTCATGTTAATCAGGTTCACCATGAGAGAAATTACAATTTTTACTCATTCATTCATAGATTTTATATCAAAGGAGGAAGTGGTAACTTGAAATCCCCAGAGAAAAAATGCATTTAGTGTTTGTGGTGTTGATTATGTTCATCATGAGAGAAATTACAATTTTTACTCATTCATTCATAGATTTTATATCAGAGAAGGAAGTGTTAACTTGAAATCCCCATAGAAAGATAATATTCATTTCACAAGTTTTCATCAAGTTTATTTATTTTTTTCTTTCTACAGCTCATGAAGGCCAAAGGATTCCTGTTGCGAATATGGCTTTACGTGATGTCATTCTTTGCCTTTGTTGCCCTCCCAATCACCAGACTGCGCAAGAGGAGGAGGTCTTCGGGAGACTCGCCCAATAAGTCTAGGATGAATAATTCTGACTCTGACTTCACCATGGGATTTTCAGATGGTATGAATATGATATGCATTTTACAGGGAGAGCTTTTTTGTGCCTTGTCGTGTCTCTTGTTTATTAGGCATTCTGTAGATACTAAAGGGCACCAAATACTGAAGCATGTTTTTTTAGCGTATTTTTTTACAATTATTCTGCAATAGTATATCCTGTTCTTTCTTTCTTTTCTTCTTTTATTGGTTCTTTCCTTCATTGAATGATAAATATTATAAAAGATTTTATCCAACCTGCAGAGGAAGGTTTGGATGACCACAGCCTAGCACAGCCCCTGAGCGATATTTCCACATCAAGCAGTGAGACCAACCAGTTCCTCAGCAACAAGGGTTTTGGCAATTCCACACCTATAATTTCACACTTCAAGAAGCGACCTGACTTCTTTGAGGGTTCACCCAGTATAAGGAACAGGTGAGTCGGTGTTATGTAAGGGGGAACCAATCATGAGAGGCTATTGTAGGGGTCTAACGGCACAGTGTTAGTGACTTGTTTCACAGTTCAAATGGGAGTTTAAGCAGATTTAGCACACAAGTCATGGGGATTTTTGTAAGTATTCTGTTCATATTTTGTTTTCATCCATCTGAAAAATGTATCTTGAAATCTTTCCCAGTTTCAGTCTTATATATTCTTCCTTGCAGCTACATTACAGTGTGAAGAGTATGTCTCAGGTTTTCAGTAATGCAAAGCTCCCTTCTGGCAGCTACAATACACAATAGTAAATATCATATTAATTTGTTTTTCCTTTTCTCTAGCTGCAATGCAAGCCCAAGAATAGACGATAGTCCAACCTTCATCCGCCGCCGTATCACCCTGCCCAGGACAGGAAGACCTTTCACCCAGCGATTGAATGAGAGCACAAGCTTCAACTCCTCCATGGCTAACACCCCAAGTCCACACAGAAATGTCGTTGAGCAAGAGGAGCCTGCTCAGCCTCTCAACCTTACCTCGAGAAATTTGATAGACTTGTTTAATGCTGCAGAATCAGATGAAGAATAGAAAAGAATTTTTGTGTGTGCTGTGCCTTTGGTTTGAGGTTGATTCAGGTGCATTTCTTGGAATTCTATGAAAAGATGATGTAAAACTTTGTTGTAAGAAGAAAAAGGTGCACAAGGATTGCTCTGAAGGAACTAATTGCATTTAGAATATTAACATGAAGTTTACATTCCACCTGATTATTTTACTGTGAACAGAATCCAGTTACTAACTAGAAGAAAGGAACTTCTGTGTAGATTATGTCATGGTTTAAGTAGACATGGAAATTTGCTGCTTAAAGAGAAATTTTGTATAAATATGCAGATGAAGAATTTCATGCAGCTGTGTAAGGAGTGTGCTTGTGTATATTTGTATTCCTTGAGAATGTTTGGGAGTATGTGTTGGGTGTTTATATATGCCACTTGTCTAATCCAAGATTTTTGTGATTTATTTTGTGTTCATGAAGGTCAGAACATTGTATGAGTAATGTGGTGCTTCTCTCCCTATTTTGCATGAATATCTTTTGTACTTTCTTTTTCCCACTCATGAATGAGAAGAAAAGTTTTATCAGATATGCTGCAGGCTTTGATGATGGGAGATGAGTAAATGTGTCACTTATATAACCATATGTGGATTTATGTTTAGGAATCACTAGTTATTGTTCATACCTTCATTTTGATTTTCATATCTATTCAGTGATATTTTGGGAAAATACATCTCGAGTTCATGGCATTTATTAGTATTTAGTGATGTCCCAGTGCACATCAGGGGTATAAGATATTACTCATAATGTTTGGCTCTGCAGATCGTTAATTGCAAATCCATATATATTTTCTTGAGAGTGATATCTCAGCCTAGATTACAAATTTTG